CTATTTGGTATAATATTGCTCCGATAGCTTTGTCGAAGGTATCTGTTTCTATAAAGAAAGGTTTATTCATATCTGGATATGATAATAATAGTACTGCTTTAATTCTATCTTAAGCTTTTCTATTGTTTTTTGGCAATCTTCATTCCAGTTGAAGTCTTTTTTGCCTACTCTCTCACAGAGTACTGTTGCTATTTTTGCAAAGTCTACTATATAATGTCTGAAATAATTCATAAATTCTAGAAAGTGTTGTAACTCTTGTTTAGTCTTTGGTGTTACAAATTTGTCTACATTATCTATTTTTAATATATTTTTTTCTATATTTCTGTGTGATGCTTTACAATTAAGTATGATTGTCTCTTGTATAAGAAATTCACATTTTGATAGTTTAATTTTCAGGGCCACGTTTTTTAAGCGTTCTAACACCCTTGTTAGTTTTTCTTGTACTTCTTTTTATCATTCAATAGTATTACTATGTCATCCATATATTAGTATATATTCTAAGTTACCTAAAATTTTGTTCATTGCTCTTATTTGATAGGCAGGTGCTGTTTGGATTCCAAATGGCATTCCTTTTTAACAATATGTGCCATATTCCACAAATTGCATTGCAGTATATTTTCTTGATGGTTCTGCTACTAGTATTTGCCAATAGGCTGATTCAATATCCATTGTTATATAATATTTATATTTTGCTACTCTTTGTAGTATCTGTTTTGTATCTGGTAATGGTTCTCTAAAAGGTAGAAGAAAACTATTTAGTTTTCTATAATCAATTGCAATCTTTTTTGTTTCATCTTTCTTTTCTATTACTACACACAGACTTTGCCAGTCTGTGTTTCCACTATATATGATTTTATTTTTTAGTAAGTCATTTCTCATTTTTTGTATTACAATTAAGTCTTCTTCAGAATATTTTCTTCCTTCTTGCATTTTATTTTTTAAGGATATCTTCTTTTTATTAATTTCTGGTTTAAATATAAATTCTACTGGTTCAATCACATTTAGGTCTACAAATGTGTAGAATTCTTCTTTTTCTCAGAATACATCACATATTTGGTTAAAATATGTCTGATTAATTTCTATACTTCTGGACCTCCAGTTTCAAGATAATGGTCTTGAAGGATCTTAATTCTTTTCTTTTCACTTTCGACAGTTTCATTGAAAGTTGGTAATTTTTAAAAAAAAATTTAGTTAATTTTCGGTTCAAAATTTTTTCACTTTCTTGTATCAAAATTTTTAATTTTGACTTTCTCTCCATTTGCTATGTGTTGTCCTTTTTTAATCTTGAATTTTTTATTAGAAAAATTCATTATTGTTATATATTTTCTATTTGCTATTCCAGGCTGCAAAATTACTGCTTCTTTGGCTTTTCTGGCTGTGGTTCCTATGTAATGATCTTCTTTGATTAGTTTTTGGATCTTTATATGTCCTATAGTCATAGGAGGTATATCTGTTTCTACGTTTGCTAATATTTGGTATTTAGCATTTTTCCCTTCTCATATAGTTGGTAATATAATATGTCTAATATAAGTAGGATATTGTTTTTTAATTTCTTTATAGAAATTAATATTTGGTTGGTGTGGGGTTGTATAATATTGTCAAGTTGTTAGGTCCATATCTGTTATATCAGATATGTTTTCTGGTATTCCAAATCCTTCTTGTTGTTCTGGTTTTGAGCTTTTTTGGGTGGCAGCATTTGCTATATCATTAAGTTGTGCTTCATTTTTCGTATTTTCTTTCTATGCAAATGCTGGTTCAGTATATTTATATACCTGTCTCCACTCATTATCTGTTAATGATGAGTGTCCTGTTGGTATTGGGTATAAGACTTTTTGACCTTTCCATTCAGATTCTATGGTTCTAGTCCATTTGGTTTCTTTTGGTTCATATTGTAGAAATGATCCTCCTACTTTATATTCGTCATTTGGATTATATAATTCTCCTTGTTGATTATTATAGTTATTCTGACTATAATCATTATAGTCGTTTGTATCTTCTTGAATATATTTATCTAATTTAGCTATTTGTTGTGCATCTTCTTTTGTTAGTTGTTCTTGTTCTGTCTGCCTGAATAGTTCTTGTCTTTGTTGATTTTATCTTCTGAATTGTTCTAATCGTGGATTTCTTACTGAGGATGATTGGTTTTATAGTTGTGACCTTTGTCTTTTGTGACCATATTTTGGTAATACCGGTTGGTCATTATCGCTTGTTGGTGCATAAAGACTACTTGATTCTGATATTATATCAGTTGGTCATACTTCTTTTATTAGTGGTGATGATTTATATTGATGTTGTTTAGAGTGAGACAATTGTATCGATTGCATTGAATTTTTTCTACTTAGCATTTGTTGTGCTGCACTTAATGTGCCCTGCATCATATCTTTTGATTTATCAAGGAAGGTTGGTGATGTTGGTGAGCTTGTTCTTGTCGTTGTTCTTGATATTGTTTGTTCTGGTATTTTGATATACTGATCTTTATCTTGTTTATTTAACCATTCTAATGTTCTTCCAAAGTTATTGTTTAGTAACCATCTATCTGCTATTTGTTCTGTTTCTCACGGTTTATTTACTGTTGGTTTATATTCTTCGTGATATGGATATTTTGGTGGTAATGTTTTTGGTAATTCTAAGCCTTGTCTTCTGACTCATGTTGTTCTTGGAACATTCGTTCCTTTTCGTCTTCTATGTCATGTATTTTATCTAGGTTTTCTAGAGATACTCCCAATAGTTCTCTATATTTTGCTTGATATTGTTCTCATAATGGTTCACTTTCGCATTGTTCTATTTGTCTGGCGAATCTTTCCATTAAAATTCGTTGTTCATACTCTTGCATTGCTTCAAAATCTTTTCTGTCTAAGTTTAGTGCTTGATTAGTTTTATACTCATATTATTCTTCTAAATCTTTTACTAAGTCTCTATTCTTTCAGAGAATAGCATCTTTTGTTTTTGT